CTTTTTTTTTTTTTTTTTTTTTTTTTTTTTTTTTTTTTTAATTATTATGGGGCATGAAATTAGGAATGCGTGACTCGATTCTCTCCGCCTGTTGCCTTTGAAGAAGAAAAAAAAAAGCGTTGGCTCATACTAAACTACTCTAATAAAGCGCTTACGCACCAAGCATAACATCGTTCGTTTGACTTGAAATGTTCGAATGATTCGTTGAGATGGCCTCGTTGGTGATCTTATAAAATGAAAAAAGGATGGAAAGTTGCACAGCTTGCAGTTTTGATCGACAAGCGGCTGGTGGCGGGCGGCGGGTAGTTGGTAGCGTTGGGTGGCGTTGGGTGGCGTTGGGTGGCGTTGGGTGGCGTTGGGTGGCGTTGGGTGGCGTTGGGTGGCGTTGGGTGGCGTTGGGTGGCGTTGGGTGGCGTTGGGTGGCGTTGGGTGGCGTTGGGTGGCGTTGGGTGGCGTTGGGTGGCGTTGGGTGGCGTTGGGTGGCGTTGGGTGGCGTTGGGTGGCGTTGGGTGGCGTTGGGTGGCGTTGGGTGGCGTTGGGTGGCGTTGGGTGGCGTTGGGTGGCGTTGGGTGGCGTTGGGTGGCGTTGGGTGGCGTTGGGTGGCGTTGGGTGGCGTTGGGTGGCGTTGGGTGGCGTTGGGTGGCGTTGGGTGGCGTTGGGTGGCGTTGGGTGGCGTTGGGTGGCGTTGGGTGGCGTTGGGTGGCGTTGGGTGGCGTTGGGTGGCGTTGGGTGGCGTTGGGTGGCGTTGGGTGGCGTTGGGTGGCGTTGGGTGGCGTTGGGTGGCGTTGGGTGGCGTTGGGTGGCGTTGGGTGGCGTTGGGTGGCGTTGGGTGGCGTTGGGTGGCGTTGGGTGGCGTTGGGTGGCGTTGGGTGGCGTTGGGTGGCGTTGGGTGGCGTTGGGTGGCGTTGGGTGGCGTTGGGTGGCGTTGGGTGGCGTTGGGTGGCGTTGGGTGGCGTTGGGTGGCGTTGGGTGGCGTTGGGTGGCGTTGGGTGGCGTTGGGTGGCGTTGGGTGGCGTTGGGTGGCGTTGGGTGGCGTTGGGTGGCGTTGGGTGGCGTTGGGTGGCGTTGGGTGGCGTTGGGTGGCGTTGGGTGGCGTTGGGTGGCGTTGGGTGGCGTTGGGTGACGATGGGTGACGTTGGGTGACGTTGGGGAGGGGCGAGGAGAGTTTACTGCTTTATAATTGACGAAAGCATGCAGCAATGCGATTGAGGCTCTTAATGTAAAATCTCAATTATTAGGCAAAATAGAAATTCGAAATAAATTTAGGATTTGTAGTTCGCTACGCTTTTCACCCAAGAGGATAAAACGTGCGGGATGTATGTGGATGCAGAGAAAGATAGAGAAGGACCATTACATAAATCAACCGAGTATGTTCAACACATGCGGGACGTCTAATTTAAATCTATCGTGGTAGCAATTTTGAATATAATTGGAGTCTGCTTGTTCCAATGTACTCTCATTTTTCATGTAAGAGGAGTATGAGGTGCGATTGAAAGTGCAGCAGACCGACGAGTGTCACCGATCACCGTCGATAATCACTCGATACATCGAATGGGGGCCATTTACTGCTAAAGTTTCGTTTATTCCCGAAAACAGCTATAAGAATTACTTGCAATTACTTGATTCGACGTTCACGTGAACTTACTCGTACTGCAAATTTCACCGTTAGCGCGATAATTGCCGAGAGCGACACGGTACGTTTGCAAGTGCGACTAGTTATTATATCGTTGGATTAATTCATCGGATGCCATGGGAATAGGGATAGCGGCTAAGAGCAATTTTGAAAGAAAACATAGGTGTCGACGGAATGGACAACACAGATGTAATGTAACTTAAATATCCATTAGCGCGAGATGATTGAGATTTATATTTTCACGGCAAGCCCTACAGGGCGTTTATTAAATAGTCAATGGCAATGAGTATGTACGTTCGTTTACATGTAGCCACTGCTTCGGAATAACTGCCCGTCCGTTATTCGAATGACATCGCGGTAGAAGGAGAGTCGCGATGAGGTGGGCGGGGAGAGGGAGAA